CCGCTCTGTGGCTCGGCTCCGCTCGGCTCCGCTCTGCTCTGCCTCGGCTCGCCATGGCCCGGGCGCTGCGCGGCCTCCCGCGGCGCGGCCTCTGGCTGCTCCTGGGTGAGTAGAGCGGCGCCCGGGACCCGCGAGCTGCGTCGGCAGCACGCACCTTCCATCTTCCCGGCGGGAGTCCAGGGCGCCGCGGGGAGGGAGGCGGAGCCGGAGCCTCCCGGTGGCTAGTGTGAGCGTGGGCTGCGTACGCGCTAGCAGAATCCAGAACAGCACCTTGCAGAACCGGTGCGCCGGAGTAGGAACCACGGCCCATTTATCCGAACATGACTTAGCCGGGGTGGACATCTGACTGCGTGTCCCCGAGCAGTTCTTTGCCAACCTGTGCCCTTAGCAGAGGTGGTCGGAGCCTTCGTTTAGAAGGACTTGAGGGAGGCCTGTGTTGTTGGCTAGACGACTTGGCACTCCTGGCTAACAGAAATTCGGAGAGGGCGGGGACCCTTGGAGGCCTAGAGCATGTTGAGCTTTCTGCTTTCAGGGGGCCGCGCTGGCAGAAGATTCGGCACAAATCCCTTGTTTTACCTCTCTGGTCCTCTCACGAGCTCATCACGTGTAAGCCCCTTTCCGAATTGGTGATGCTAATGGAGTTACTTCTTGAATTCAGCTGCATTGCACTGAGAACTAAACAGACTGCTTCTGTTTGTGTGAGGTAGGATCTCGCTGTGTAGTTTAGACTGGCCTCGAACTCACCAAGGCCTGTCTGCCTCGGCCTCTAGAGGCTGGGGTTATAGGCGTGTGCCACCAGGCCCCGGGTTAGATTACTTGAGCTGAGGAATCCAGAATGCCAGGGAAGGCCCTGCACTTAGCCCGGTTCTTGTGTTCTGTCCCCAGAGCAGTGGGGCTGGCCAGAGGCACCCGGGCGTTGTCCCTCGGTTCCCTCTGCGGAAGGGATGCCCGTGGCACAAGCAGGGAAGCAGCTGTGACAAGGGCCTGTCCCTGCAGACTAGCGAGCCCCTGAGAGGGGGCCTCACAGGGAACAGATCTGCGTAAAACTCCAGTCTGCCTCCTGTAATACATTGTGAAGATGGATCTTTTCTCTGAAGTATCTTGTTTAAAGTCCTATGAAAAGCAGAATCCCATAGTGCGCTCTTCTGCTGGGGCAGAACCCAGCCAGCCTGCCAGGGCATGCAGAACTGTTTTAGGGTCCGAAGAGACAAGCAGTTACTCCTCAGTTCACAGAGCAGAGATCTGGGTTGGAGATTTTTTTTTTTTTGCATAAATAAGCAAATAAATAAGTGCTCTTTACTGCTGCCCAGAGGCAGTGCCCACTGCAGCTCGTGTAAATAAAATCCGGTGTCCACAGTTGCACAGAAAGACCTTCCCTGTTGCTAAGAAACTGACTGTCTTCTGCAAACAGCCTAGAGTCCTGTCATCAACCCTGTGCCGAGAGGTCTGGCTAATGTTATATTCTGGAAGAACAAACACAGCTTTACGAGGTTATCAGTAAATTCATGTCCTTGGAGGCCAGCTGCTGTGAGCAGAGCAAGGAGCACGCACTGTTTTGTCCCAGCGCTGCAGCCGCAACAGCCAGATCTCCTTGGAGACAAGGGGTTTGCTACCCAGAATGGCAATGTGGCGGTGTCTTCTCCACACACTAGTCCATCCTTTGGAGTCATCTGACAGTTTTATAGTCAAGCTGTCTGCCTCACGCAACCCTCTTCCTTTCTGCTTGCTGTTATTTAAATCTCACTGCACACGTCTTCGTTTTCCCTGAGGCCCCCAGATGCTGTGTTGTTTGCAGCAGACGGATACATGGCCACATGCATTTTTAAAATTCTATGTGTAGCCACCAAAAATTTCCAGCAGTCAGAAAAGGACATCTAACCAAACCGGGTAATTCCTTGATGGCTTGCCAGCTGCATTGCAAGCTGCTGCCTCTTGCAAGCTTCACTTGGGGATGAGGCTGCTGAGATTGCACTTCAGTCATTGGTCCTGGGGACCTGCGCCTTCTTTGCTGTCCCAGTGTGGGACCCTGAAGTGTTTGAACACTGATATTTATTGAAATGTATGACTTTGTTTAAATACAAAGGTAACTGGCACTGACTGGGACATCATGGGAAATGCAAACTATGTGATGCTGCTCTAAGACAAGCCGTGGCTCTAATCCTGGAGCCCAGGCCTGAGGAGTCTCACTTGCTAATCAACTCAGTGTGTTTGTTGACTGTTACTGTGTGCTTAGGTCAGGGAGAGTCTGGGATTTTTGTCTTGCTTCCACCAGCATGTACTAGGCAGGGTGTGTGCCGTCCATCTGCCCCAGGGCTGTGAAGAGTGTTTCCACCCGAGGCACATGGGCTGTTGAGTGGCACCCTAGGGAGACTTTCACTGTGGAACCCTTCCTGAAGGCAGATGTGGTTTGGGAAAGTCCTCCAACCTATGAGGGCAGAGCCAGAATGGCCCAATTTCCTAGTCTCTGATCACTTGAAACAGGCATCTGGCAGCAGGTACGTGTGTGGTGTGCGTGGCAGTGGCGCCCCGAGGTGTCACCGGGATCCTCCCTGGGCCCAGAGCCTTCTGCCTGCAGTTCTATCTGCAGTGTCTGTCCTCTGGGCTCAGCTGCCAGGGTGCAGCCTGTGTGCCAGAGAGACAGAGGGGCCCCCTGCACATGTTGAGCACCTGGTGGAACCCCTGGGGTTTACTTGTTTGTCAGGGGTATCTGCTCCTTGACTGGTAGGTGGCAGGGCTCAGGGGTCTTGGGAGGAGGCCCCCTGGGGATGGGGCGAGCCCTACCAGAGCTTTCTGGCACACGGGGCACTGAGGATACTCAGGGAGACCTCCTGGATGGGGAGCAGCTACTGCCAAGGAGATGGGAGGAAAGGTGGCAAAGGGAGACCCCGCCAAAGCAGAGCTGTGGCCTCAGTACCTGCCCGGCCCTGGTGGTGCCACCTCAGCACTGAGTCTCTGGTCAGCAGAGACACAGAGATGACAGGGCTTTCCAATCCCCAGGCATGCACACACGCACACACGCACACACATACATACACACGCACGCACAGCCGTCTCTGCCTTCCCACCCAGGGTTGGTGGTGGTGCTGTGCAGGCACAGTAGCAAGCAGACTCTGATTTTGTTCCCAAACTGGCTGTATTTTGCTGTTCTCCCCGACATCTAAAGACACAACCTCAAGCACTCTAAAGGTCAGGGTGGTTGAGCAGCTCTGCAGAGCGGGGCAGGCAGCTGGCATGGGCCAGGCCCTCACTGCTGTCCACTGCAAGGCTCTAGAGGAGGTGACTTCCTTTGCCCCAGTCTGCCCCCTTTCTCACGATGGAGAAGGCAGCCTTGTCCTGCGAGCTCTGCACACCCTGCCTTGCCCACCCCAACATGTGGAAGGCACTGGACTCTGGGTCAGCGGCTGGGAACCTTGCTGGGTCTGTGAAGCGAACACCCGGAAGGACCTCAGGCAGCCTCGCTGGGGTAGAGGTTGGGGTGCCCTGACCTGGGTCTTGCTCAGACCCCACGCTTCCCAGGCCTCACCCGGAGAGGGATGGTCCTGAGCCCCATTCTGTGGGAGGGGAGGTCCCGATTTCCTGCACTGTGTTATGCCCGGCCCAGTCAGGGGCTTAAGGAAAAACAGCTTCCTGCCCAGAGCCTGCAAACCATCGCATCTTACACAGCAGTACAGCCCCAGCATGTGCTCATGGCATGGTACAAGGCACTGGAGAGAGAAGGTGGAATCCTGGAGGGAGCTGGGCCCTGCTGGCACCCGCACCCTGCAGGCTGCACAACCTCTCCAGAGCACAGGGCGCCCCATGCACACAGCAGTGACCTGGCACCAAGCTTACACAGTGGTGAGGCAGAGAAGCCGTGTAAGTCACACATCTGCCACCACCAAGTTCATGGTCACAAGTATGTTTTAAAAATACGTCTGTACCACACCAGCCCTGCCGCCAGGGTGCGCTGAGCCGCAAAGAAGTCCCAAGCACAATGGCGATGCCTGTAATCCCAGCACCAGAGAGGCTGAAAACAGAAGGATCACTACGAGTCTGAGCTGCATAGTGAGACCCTGTACCAAGTACATAAATGAAAATAAATAAATAAAATAATAATAATAAATAAAAATACATCTGTAAGCCAGGTGTGGTGGCACACTCCTGTACTCCTAGCACCGGGGAGGCTGAGGCAGGAAGATCATTGTGGGTTTGAGACCAGCCTGGGCTGCCAAGTGAGCCCAAGGCCAGCCTGAACTACACAGCAGACCCTGTCTCAAAAAGACAATAATAATAATAATAATAATAACCCGTACCAAGTATGTGCAAACTTGTTTCTTGTCATTATTGCCTAAGCAGTATGACAGTTATTCACTGGTGCTTATGCTGTGTGGTATTGTAAGTTGTGCAGAGATTTAAAGCAGTGTTAGGGAAGGAGGTGTGGCACACATGCCACCTCAGGCTCTGAAAGGTTCGCCATCGCTGATCGGAAGTACAGGGTGTAGGAGGGTGGCTTCCGCACCAATGCCACACCATTTCATAGAAGAGGCTCAGGCCTACAGACACGGCAGCACAGGGGTCCTGGAGTCAGTCTGTGTGTTAGTGAGGACCCGCAAACCTGAAGTCCTCTGGAACTGGCCCAGTCCTCCGGAGTCCTGGTCTCCATACTTTCGGGGTGGTGCGTTACCATTGATCCCTTTGGCCCTTGGGATGGCGGGACCCTCCACAGGCTAGCAGACTGCAGGTGACTTGCTTGGTACCCAGGAATGTGGGGTTTGGGCTGCCCCATGAGTGGAAGACCCTACCCCAACCTTCTCTGAGCTGTCCACACTGGGTGCATAAGAAAGCTCCTTTCTTGTGGCTTGGCTCCTGCAGGCCGGCTCCCTGGCTCTGTGTCAGGAGCATGCTTTCTGGCTTGGTAGCCACGCCGGCAGGTGCATCACTACCCCATCTGTCACCCAGGGTCCACCTTACCACTGCCTAGCTCGAGGCTCCACCTGGACCTCACTGTGGGGACAGCATCCCTGCTTGTGCTGTGGGCCTCGGGCAATAAGCCTTGAACCTGTGGCTTTCTCCTCGGGGTGCTGTTAGTTCACTTGTGTGGGGTTGGGGGTGGGGGTGGGCCAGAG